CACACGGTGTTGTTGGAATGTTTCAATAAATATTGGTTTATGTTTCACATAGTTATTTGTAATGTTGCATGTGGTGTTTTTTCATGTTCTAGCAAAATTATTGTAATAAGATCTTATATGATTATATTTCTGATGAAAAAATTATATATATGTGTGTGTTTCAGCAGGTGCAATTAAATTTTTCATGTGTGAGAAATAAACATTTCAAATGGAATTTTACTTTGTAATAAATTTTAAGTTTACTGTTGCAACAAAATGTTGCTCGTAGTATTATTTATATGTTTTAGTAGATATTTTCTTACGTTTCACTGATTCTTTATAACTGTTGCATACAATATACTTGATGAAACATAATAATATGATGTGCAACATTCACAAATAAGTAATGAAACATCATAATATATTTATTGATCCCGTGTGCAACAGTAAAACCACACCTATCGGATAAAAAACTTAAAATGTGCAACATAATAAAATTACAGATGAAACATTTATTTTTAACACGCGAAACATTAAATCTTAACGATTGAAACATATATAATTTTTCAATCAAAATATAACCCTGTGAGATCTTGTTGTAAAGATTTAATTATAATGAATACAACCGTATAATCAGAATGACAATCAGATAAATGGTTTGAAAAATAAATCATCTCAAAGGTTACTAGTATGGGTTAATCAATGCATGCATGTAGTATCATCATTTAGCAGTTATGTGATTAGCTTGCTGACTTAGTACTCGGGTAGCGTCCGATATTTTGCGCTCCATCAAACGTCCGGGCGGTAGTCTCCTCCTGAAAAATCGGAAGGAAAGGGAGGAAGAGAAAACGGAAAAAGAGGAGACCAGATGCGGGCATGTGCGGCTCGAATTAGTATTCCAAGCGCTGTGCGCGTATTAGCGCTACCGCGTAAAAAGGGTGTTTAGGGAGATAATTAGTATTTCCTTTTACTTGCAAATATTTTCTTAAATTATATTATTTCATAATCATGGTTCTATAATAAATATTATTCTAAATTCATATATTAATTTAGAATTTGAATTTAATCCACTTATTTGATTTTAATTTTGGCATTGGCACAACAAGAAAAAGAAAGGAAAATCCAATAAATACCAGGATGAGGGAAATTTGAAAAATATTTTTGATCATTCCACATTTTTTTTCTGTATTTTAAATTCGAAATTTTCAGGGTGTTACATATTTGGATGAGCAGATTGGGTTATGTCAACAAGTGAGATCGTGACTACGGTATTTGGATGGTATGGGGATCGTTGATACCAGGGTATATGCGAGATTGAGGTAAAAGAGATTGAGACAGGGATTTTTATACAGGTTCGGGCCCCTTATCTGACAGGTAATAGCCCTACATCCTGTTGGCCGAAGCCGGTATTGCTCTTATTCATCATAATCACACAAGTACAATAATTAGGATAACTCATCTAACTGTTGTCGACTTGGCGGCATGGATCACCAACTCATAGTCGACGACATGGTAGTCTTTCTCCTTGAATCTGCACTTGGCGAGATCTGAGATAGCGCTACATCCCTCTTGTTGGCCTCGGCAGACACCATATTGGGTTTGTCTAGACTTATTTCTGATGTCGATATCCGGCGGCGTGTGTTGGCTTGTGTATCGATCTGTGTCATTGTGTCGTGGCTTGTCCCCTCTCCTCCTAGGGGATTGTATTTATACCCATAGATGCACCCTTGTCCAAGTAGAACTAGGGAGACAAGTATGGATACGATCCGTGTAGTCCTTGTCGTTTCCATATAGAACTCTAGTTGTCCTTCCTTATCCGGAACTTCTTCTAAACCAAAAATAACACCGCAGGTCAACTCATAATAGAAACAATGTTATTTTTTGGCAAAATTTGCTACGTAACACTTAAAGTTCACGGTGTTTGCTATAGGACATCCAAATAAACAAATATCTGATGTAGGACATAGCGAAAACATGATAATTAGCTGCTAGACACTAGACACATTATTTTATTATGTCAAGGGCAAACGGAGAGAGAAACAGTGTGGAATGTACCAATTTGCCCTTGTGTCCATAGGTTGTAAGGTGATTGGGTCCGGTGCAAATCTAACCTAGACCATTTTCACTCCCCCGATCTGATCCATTGTCACTCCCTTAGTATGGTTCCAGTTCGAACTGAACCTGGTTGGGTTAAAAACAAACATGTCCCATAGGCAAATTTGTATTTTCTTAAAGTTTATTTCTCTATTTGCACATGATATAATAAAATAATATGTCCAGTGTTCATCAACTAATTTCCATGTTTTTTGGTGTCTTTAAGCAAATACACGTTCTTTGAGTGTTCTGCAACAAAGAACATAAACTTTGAGTATACTATAGTCAATTTTGCCTTTTTTATTGTTTTTCTTTCCCTTTCATATGGTATACTAGCAAAAATGCCCGTGCGTTGCAACGGGAATTGTAAAGACCACAAAATTGAGAAAAAAATGAGAAAGATTTACATTATGTAATTAATTGAAATACAAATTTCCGGAAATATTTGGGTATTTTTTTAAGTAGGTAGATGTATAATTAAATTAGTTTAGTGTGCGAAATAAAATTATATAGATTTAAATTTATTGAATTCTCCATGATTATTACGCTATTTGGAATTTTATTGAAATTTCTAGAGTTTAATAGCTAATTTTGATAATACAAACATCATTTTAACATTTATTTAAATAAAAATAATCTTTTCTCTCTAGGCCATTTTCAGCCCTTTTTTTTTTCTGCCCGCAACCGAGCTAGCCCGCTTTCCTCCCTTCTCCTCCCCTCCGCCTCAACCTATAAGAAATCGTTCGGCCCAGCGGGACATCTAATTGGACTCCCCCCACTCCTCCTCTCATTGCTGTGTGGGCCCCAACCAAAAGTCCAACCTAAGTGCTTTGTTGGACCGCCTGGCCCGCGCGCGGCGTAGCAATGATGCGGCCCGAAGATGGAGGATGGCCCAACGCGGGATCGGTCTGAGTCGTTCGTTTTGATGGACGGCTCAGATTGGAACGTTCCGAATCCATCAAAATCGTCGGGGTTAAAAAATCCCTAACCCTAATTCATTTTCCCCTCCCTCCCCTCACCACAGGTCGCCTCTGTCCCCCAGCAGCGACGCCCCTCCTCTCTCCCCACCAACGACGCTCCTCCTCCCACCTCGAGGTGCCCCTTCCCCATTGGTGGCGCCTCTCCATGCCCCTTCCCCACCGGTGGCGCCTCTCCATGCCCCTTCCCCACTGGCGGTGCCTCTCCATGCCCTTCCCTCTCCAGCGGTGCCGCTCCCCCTCCCTCCAGCCCCCCAACCACCGGCTTCTTTAATTCCTCCTCGTCGGGGTGCCACTGCCGTCCCACTCCTCGCCAGATCCGGCAAGTCAGTGGCTCCTCGGCGGCACAGTGGCTCAGGATTGGCTCCTCCCTCTCCCTCCCGGCATCTTCCTGGAACAGAGGCGAGTCAGCGACTTCCCAATGCAACCGCAGCGCAGCTGCTCCCCGGCTCTCGGGCAGCACAGTGGCGGCTCGGCTGATCCCCGATGCAATGACATGACGGCGGAGGAGGAGGTCCGTTGAGGAGAAACGGTGGCCTCCCGCTCGTCCCTCCATCTCCTCTCGTTATATCTCTGGATATTTTGGATGATTTTGTGATGATTCCGATTTGGATTTGGATTGAGATTTTGTTTTTGGTTGGAGTTGGATCGTGATGTTGCGAACGGACGAAAAATGGCAGTATGGAATAAAAATCAGTGTGATGATCGGAAAGCTACAAAATTTAAAATTTTTAATTAGTTAAGATTAAGATTTTGGACGGCGTTTTTTTTTCTTTGTCTTTTTTTCTTTCTGCTTTTTTCTTTTTTTTTATTCCGCTGTTTTTCTCGCTGATAGCGTTTTGGCCTTTTTTTTTTTTTCTGTTTTTTTCCTTTTTTTTGCCGGATATTTCACTGACGCGTTTTTTAGATGTTTTTTTCGCCGTTTTCTTGGGGACGGTTTTTTTTAAATCGGAATCGAAATTTCTTTTCTTTTTTCCGTCTTTCTTGCTAACGGCGTTTGCCTTTTTTTTTTCTGTGCGCGCGTGGGGTTACTTTTTTGGCGGGGTTTTTTTAATCGGAATCGGAATCGGATTTTTTTAATTACGGACGAAGGAAACATCTTATATTTTTAATTAGTAGAGATAGAGATTGAGATTCATTTCGTTTTTTTTCTTTTTTGCCCCATATTTTTCGGATCGGACAGATTTTTTTTCTTTTTGCCCTTTTTTCTTTTCTCCGGATCGGACATTTTTTTTCTCCGGTTTTTTTGGATCGGACGTTTTTTAGCCGTGTTTTTTTCGCTTGGTTTTATTTTGCCCGGTTCGTATTTTTTTTGGATCGGACAGGCTTTTTTTTATCGGACATTTTTTTCTCTCGGTTTTTTCGCTTTGGATCGGACTTTTTTTCGCCCGGTTTTTTTTCTTGGTTTTTTCATCCGGTTTTTTTTTACGGACGATGGAAGGCAGTAGAGAAGAGATAGAGATATATATAAGGGTAGAATTGTCATTTAATTGTTGCTCTTGCGTGCGACGGTGACATGGCATATCAGCGTGGTGATTTCTATGGGTTTAAGTACTATGTTGAGCCAAGTGATAGATTTTAAATACTTGTTTAGAAAAATTGAAATGTTAGAAACTAAATTGATTATAGAACAAAAATTAAGGGATCTTATTAGCTAATCACCCAAGAAACCATAAGAAAAAAAGTTAGTTGAAAATTTTTTTGAATTAAAGGAATGTAGCCTAACTCTATTTTAGATAACTTTTTAACTGTCTAACCCTGTTTTGTGCAACAAGACAACAATGCAGAGCGCTAGCCCTGCCAGACAGCTTTAGTCCACTAAGAACATGACACGTGTTTCTCAGTATTTCAAAAGGAGTCTTCTCTATGGGAGACCGGACCGAACCCTCCTCATCCCTCCCTCCCTCCCTCTCTCACTCTCCTTACCTAAAGCGGCAAAACGGCAAAACCCTCCCTCTGTACCTTGCCCAAAACAGGAAAGGAAAAGTCACGAGCGGAGGAGAACGAGAGAGAGAGGAGCAAGCATCCCAGTTCTTGGTCCCCATTCTGTACAAGAGGGAGAGCGAGCAGACAGAGTTCTTTAACCCCCGTTCCGTGCGAGAGGTGGTTCTTTCTCTACACTGACTAGTCCTCTCCTTTCTCCCACGCCGCAATCAACGCAGGCGAGATCGGCGACGCTCGGAGCGAGGCGGCGGCCGGCGACATGAGCGACATGGCTGAAAGGCGGGAGCTGCGCGCAAGAGCCGTCACGACGAGCGGCGCCATCGCAAAAGCCGCCACGACGAGCACCGGCACCGCGAGAGCCGCCACGACGGCCGGCAGAGGCCGAGGCAGGGGCAGGGGCAGGGGAGGCAAGCCAGCGACAGCAATCAGTCCGCCCTCAACCCACGTAAAGGTCTTGCTTCATAGACTAGCGTCTAGCTAGATGTATTTCCGTTTCCAGATCCAATTGCAATATCCGAGATCTAATTAATTAGTAGGTTTCTATGGGATTATCCACTTGATTGGTTAGTTAAACACCAACGTTTTTCCTCGTATGCCTAATTAATTTGTTTATTATTCTGACTGCAAATAGGGTAATCATCAGTACTCCTACTGTCTCTGTGTGTGTGTGTTTCTTTTGTCATAAGTTTGTTTAGGGACTTTTGCGAGGGGCGCGGCTAGGGCTAGTTGGAATTCATGGGGCTTTTCCTCCGGCGGCCTCTTAGCAGCTTAGTAATGCAGCCCGAGAGAGGGGCGGCCGTGGGGCGTTGAGAAAAGCGGCTGGAGGAAGAAGAATAGTGTGCTTCGTGGGCTTGGCTAGTGGGCCTGCCTGGCTAATTAGCAATAAGTGGGCCTGGCTAATTCCCAAATAGTGGGTCTGAATTTTTATGTCTGTAGAGATATATATCCCTCCATTTAAGTCGTTTTGACTTTTTTTAGTCAATTTTTTTACTTTTAACTAAATTTATAAATTTATAGAAAATTTTAGTAACATCTAGTATAACACAAAATTAGTTCCATTAAATGTTTGATAGCATGTTTGCTTTGTGTTCAAAATGTTTCTATATGTTTGTATAAATTTAGTGAAGGAAAATGGTCAAATCGACTTATAGTGTGAAACAGAGAGAGTAGACATGAAACATGTACTATGAGTACACCCTTATCTGTAAATTATAATGGACAAGACTCTGTACTTTCTTGTGTTTATATTGAATTTGGATTTCACAAGGGGCAAAAGGAAACATCTAATCTGACATCTCTCTAGTATGCTTAAGTCATCCTTTATGCTAAAAAATAAGTAATATTGATAGTTTTATGGGAGTACTATTGCTTGCATGAGGCATATCGTTCTATATATCATATCCTGTCTAGAGTCATTATTTAAGATCATATTTATCTATTTGATATAATTAAGTTCATCCCCTACATATCTAATTGTCTTCTCAGGTGCCTACTGCTGTTTTGGCCAAAGGTATCAAAACCTTGAAGGTCGTAAAGTTTAGTGCCGTATATGAATCCTTGCCACTCCATCTGGTTGCACCCGCGGTCCATCGTGTTGTGGGAAAGCAAGCTACAATCTTAAGGATGAGAGGAGCGGCATTGGACGATAGCGGCAAAAGGTGCTTGGAGATGGAATTCCTGACATATCAATCTGCCGCAATGATTCTGAATCACTTCGTTAAAATGACGGCAACAAATCGAATGTATATCCAACTAGAATGGAGTGATAGGAATTTGGATGACATTGAAACTCCAACGGTTCCAAATGTGTCCTACCAGGAGCCTAAACCGGATTCAAAGACCGAGGTAATTTCTGTTTTCTGAGTCATTTATAGCTTTTAACTAGGAATGATGATTGGAATGATATTTAGGTTGATTAGGATGGCTTATATGAGGATTTAGTGTTTGTGTAGGGCAAGGACTAAAACCTCAAACGACTGTTCCTTTTCTTTTATAGGAGCGGCTACCAGGAATTGCTGGATTCAACCGATACTTCCCTTGGCAGTAATCAAGAGCATCGGTATCACCCATTTTTTTGGAGGCAAACCCTATGGTGAGATATGATTTTCTTGTTGCAGGTCCCTATATATCCCAGTGATCTTATATAACAATATGCTCTCAACTCTATGAACTTGCTATGACTCTGCAGTGGGAGAGAGAGCTTACAAACCGAGGGCTTTGAATGTAAGGGAATCCTGAAAAGCCATGGATTGGAGAAGACCATGAGCAGTGGACATGACCATTTAAAGTCTCTTCTACGCGTCGAGGCCACCTATCATTTTGGATGCATGTATGGTGATCCAAGTGCGTTGCACTGGCGGCCGATTTCGACCTGTCGCCTATCTATGGCTTGTCGTCTCGGTCAAATACTAAACTGTTCAGTATTTTGATACTAGCTACCTCCATCCAAAAAGAGTTCATTTTTCATTCGTGCACAAAAGTGAATCCTTTTAGGACGGAGGTAGTACTAAACTTCAAGGCTAGGTGGTGCGGTGCGCCTTCTTCAGAGGTAGTAGTATTAGTACCATTATCATGTGGTGTTCCCCTGCGCCACCATATTTTTTTGCCGTCTGTTGGTCAACTCTGCCGCCCCCAATCCCATGTTAAGAACTTAAGACTACCCAAAAGGCTCTCGTGTTCATCTAAAGAGAGCTCTCTTTTTAGCCTCAATGCAACTTATTTTTAATTATTTCTTGTGGATGTTTAGCAGTCATCTGAAACATGCAAGTTATCCAGAATTAATATTTGGTGTCAAAATACCTTGTCCAGGAGTAGGTTCTGCAATGGTGCAGCTGAGAACGCCCAAATCAAATGTGCTCAGCAATCCAAAACGAAGTGAGCCAATTAGTGCCCAACGTTAACAACAAGAATGGTGCAACTAACAATATAGGCAAAACCGCTCGAATGACAGATCTGATAGCAGCGCATGCCGTACAAAATTGAATGAAGCTGCTGAAAAAGTTTATATGTAGTACGCGGCATTAATTCTTCCTGCAAAGCTTTTCACCACAAATCAACAAATATTCTGCACAACATTTATTAATCAAGTTCCTATAATCCAGAACTCAGTTATCATCTTATAAAGCAGAGCAGAACAGAACAGAATAGTTCGATCCTATATTTTACCAATAATCAAACTTTTAAGAGTTCTTCTACGCATATAATCAGCTAAAAAAACACAGAGTAAACAATTCTCTCAGACGTTCACCCAATTTATTTGTAGAGTCATATACCATGTCAAATAACAAAAACAACAGTAGCATCAAGATTTGGTCGGAAAAAAAGTGGCTTTCCTGAAGAACAATAGGTAACTGTTCAGGGGGTTTATTGTCTTCAGAGCCATGATCAAGCCACACTTCAGGGTGTCTGTCAACTGTTCCGTGAAAAATGGACTTGGGTGGTTTCAGTAGGAGATAAACAAAGTGATGGTACTGAAGTATTAGTCCTCAAATGGCACAACAACAAATGTTGATGTTTTCTGAAGTATTAAATCATTAAAAAAAAGCAAAGAGAGTTAGCAAAAATGAGGACATCTGGTGTCATCAATTATGTGTGGATGAGTCTGGCGAGCTGGCAACAAAGGGTATGAAAAGTTCTATCAAAAAAAAAACAAAGGGTATGAAATTGGGGAGCAATTTGCAGAGCGCATGATTATCTCAAAATGAAAGAAGTTGCAAAAGAGAGTAGCAACCAAAAGATCCTGCCTGAGAAGTCTTTGGAATAGATCTGCATAGTGAAAGTAGAATCATAACAGCTCCATAAAATTGAATCAGAAAAGCAACACACCAGTGGCATTAATTTTTAGTAAAATGACCATAAGTACCATGAAGAAAGAACATTGCATGAAATAGTATTCGTGGACCGTGATAGCAGTGAAAATCCAGTTCAAGTCCCCTAGAAGAGTTGCACGGTCATTTTGCCAATATGAGTGTGTTCCTGAGAACCACTGAGTAATGATCACTTACAAAATGACAGATCTCGATAAATAGTTGTACCTATAGTCATCGCAGGAGAAAGAACCATCTATATATATATACTAGTTGAGTGACTGTGCGTTGCAACAGAAAAAAAATGATGTGTATTGCAGTACACGAACAATGAAAATCTCGCTGAATAAGCACAATCAAAAACCTTGAGAATTCTGCATAGAACATCTATGTCACTCAACCTTACATTCATTAGTGCAAGTATAAATAAAATCCAAACCGAAGAATATGATCCTGTAACAAGAGTGAGCTATCTGCAATAACAACGCTCTAGATGACTCAAGTAGCTAAGGAAAATCTGAAGAGCTCGTACACTACTAACACTGTAGATGTTGCTATATATGATGTGTATCACTTGTCGAGTTCTGGTAGCCTTCGGGTGCCCTACCCACGAAATCCAACAACCACCATCATTGTAATCCTTCCAGATGAATGAATATTGAATGCATATTATAGTTCAATATATACAATTTCGAAGTCACATCAAATCCTTAAAACAGCTACAACTTATCATTATCTACAAATAGTTACCGAGTACATCTTATCTGTATAACATGAACCTTTTTTCATAAAAAAGGATTTGTTAAGGCTTGATTTCTTTAGGCCCTAAGATCAAGTATAATTAATGCACAAAGGACGCCCAACAAAGCACATACCAAATGATTGTGTATGTGAAATTTACATAAATTGTCTGCAAAGCACCCATGTACCAAAATGCCAGTATTACTTGGATCTTGTAGTGACAGGCCAGAATACATAATTTATAATTATCAATAACTAGATCAAATAACAGCCATAAAACCGATGTGTGTTGTGCTATTACAACAATCACGAGCTGGACTAAAATCCTACGTATCATCAATCCAAAATACTTGTCGCATCTTGCTTTATGCATAACCAAAGGGACAATTGTATCTGTGTCCCCACTTTAAAAGCCAATTGCTGGTTTACCTTACTTTTTAGGGTTTGTAGTTTTACTCCCACATTTTAAATCTGAAGCAACCGTCTACTCTCACTTGTGACATCCGATCGGTCAGTCCCACGTTGTGTGTTAAAGAAATACAAAAGCAACTAAAAAAAGCTTTAGGAATTATGAAATTATCTTTGTACCCCTGAGGGAATGGATAAGGTTGAGTGAGTCTCCCACCCTGTGCGTCTCCCACTAAGTGCGTTGGTTTGCAGGTCAAAACCCTAGCGCGCCGGTGGCGGGTGCACGCGCGAGGCGGCGACCGTGGGCGCGCGCGCGGAGGTGGCGGCGGCGGCGGCCGAGGGTGGCGCGGCACGGAGGCGACGGCCACAGGCACGCCGTGCGGGAAGCACAGCCGAGGGCGTTCACAAGAAGTCGACGCCGTTGCACCCGTTGCTGAACCGGCAGGTGGGCTACGACGTGGGGAAGTCATTGCCGTTGTGTGGGAAGTTTGCCCGCGGCACGGCGGTGCCGGCCAGGTAGTTGTTGTTGCCAACGTCAGCCTCAGCCGTGGAGTCGTCGAATACATACATCGCCGGCACCTTTGCCGCCGCCGCCGTGGTGACACAAACAGCCACAGCAACAAGCGCAATCGGAAAGTGCACGAGTCTCCTTATGGATCAAAGTTTATGAGGAATCCTCCCCTCCACATGGAAAACGGAGCGATAGATTAACATGTGACTAATTAAGTATTAAAAAAATTGAAAAATGGATTAATATAATTTTTTAAAGTAATTTTCCTATATAAACTTTTTGTAAAATGTGTACCGTTTAATAGTTTGAAAGGCACGCACGTAAAAAACGAGAAAGGTGGGTTGGGAACCCATGAGAAAGAACACAGCCTAGTGTGATTCTTCATGTGATCAGCCTGAAAAACGCATACCTCCCTGCCATTGCAGAAACAACGAACAAAATATTCAGCACCAAAGTGGATCGTTCGGCCATCAAGGCCAAAACATGAACTCTGTCCGGCATGAAGAGAAGCGCGAAAAAAAAAACCTATTCCTCAATTTCGAACTACATGCCGTCCCAGTGGCAGCAAGCAACGACCCTCCTTAAGTGGTGGGAGAATACAGCAGGCACCATCGGAGCGCCAAAGAAGGCATTGCGGACACTATTGTTGTTTGTCGTCAAGGAGATATGGAATGAAAGGAACCACAATCTTCCATCATAAAGAGCTACCCGCGGGCACCCTCCTAGCCAAAATTAAGGAAGAAGCCAAGACTTGGGCCTTGGCGGGTGCGAAACATCTCGGCAGTTGGCTAGAGTTTATTAAGCTCGGACTGAAGGTCCTGAGCATGTAAGTTATTTCCTTTTTCACTATGTACACTTGTATAGTTTTACTCTTTCTCTATTCAATGAAAATGGCAGCTCGCCGTTTCGTTTAAATTAAAAAAATCGAACCACACCAGGTAGTGTAAATTTGTCATCGAAGAACATGAAATAAATAATATTCTACTACATAATACTACTAAGGGTACATAACATCAATGTTGGCAAACTAAATGCTTGAAAATAGAAAAGGCATAATGCCTTTTGTTTCATGCTAATGCCTATTATTGTTCCATCGATAAGCAAGCATCAGTGTGAGTCTGTGAGATTAATCAATCCCTTTATGCTAGACCTACTTACATTGGGCATTCTGATAAGAGCTCATCATTGAGTAACTTCAACATCACTTGAGCTAGGACTCACAGCATGAGGCACCCCATTACAAGTCCTGCTAACAGAACTTGTTAGATAACCACTCCCCAAACATCAAAACTATCACATACCATGGCACAAAGTCGATCCGTGTATGTGAAATAGTATGTGACAGGGGTTGAACAAAACCTCAGCTACTCCATTACTTTTAATCAATCACAGGTACTCCTACAAGCAAACAAAATTGGCAGTAATCAAACTTCATCAATTTCCCAGTTTCTTCATAAAATAAAAGGCACAACAAAATGCTGGAGTACCATATACTGATATACCTATTATTATAAAAATTGGATATGTTTTTACCGGCGGCTAGGTACATCGTCCGACTCCCACTCGTGCGTGTGCGCGGCTTTGGGCCCAAGCGTTGTGATTCCGAATTTTCCAGTGAAAAAGGATGAGACATTTCCGTCGTTTCAGCCCTAGTCAGTCCAATTTTGATCTAATGATTCTTGACATATACTATAGCCTATTCGAGGAGTTTAAAATTCTGAGAAACAGCTGGTGAAAACTCGGCATCTGGCTTATGTACGTCATTGTCCTTATGGAAGACGCGAGCAGCGGAAGTGGAGCAAGCCAAGCTCATCTCGCCCGTCATCGCGCGGCACTCGGACGACCTGGCTAGATAGATCTTCGCAGGCGACGCTTATATGGTCCGCCTACGAAGATCGATCTTCGCAGGCGACGCTTATATGGCCCGCCTGCAAAGATGCCCCTATATAGTCTTCTTCCTCCCTGAGCCCTGTTCATTCTCCCCGACGTTTCTCTCTCCTAAAGTGACTTAAATATAGGGGGGGAGGTTTTGAACTTCAAATCTTCGGGGGATTTTTCTACGGTACTTAGATCTACTCATTTTCACACTAGGTATGTATTTTTTTAAGATTTTAGACCTTAATTTGTAATGGATTTATGCATCCAAAATTTTGAAGGAAGAGCTCCATGTTTTTTAATTTTATTTCTTTTCATATGTTTATGTTAGATGTATGTGTAATACTTGATGCCTCTTGTTGTAGTGGTTTAATGTGGTAACATAAA